AACAAAAGGAGTAAACTTTCTTGAATTATATAATTTATATTAATAACGTAAAATTTTAAAAAAAATTAATATTAATATATCATTTCATGCATTTAAATCAAATTATAATTGTGATAATATGTATTTATATTTTGTATGTAGGGTTGAAGAGGCAAAAGATAACATTAGTATTAGAAAAAGTTATATATAAATTAATTTTGTGTGAAAATTAATAAAATAATAACGTTAATAAAATGGAATGCTTATTAATTGTTACATAGTGTATACATAAATAAGTTTTTACGGTAATTTTATTTTAATTAAATGCATACAATTTAATAATTATTTTGAGGATAAATTATTCTATTGAGAATTTATGAAAATATTATGTACTTAATATTCATTATTTAAGGAGAAATTATTCCATAAAAAAACTTATAAAGAAGTTATCCATTATATTATAAGATAATATATCTTTAACAAAATATGAAAGGTATTAAGAGCAACTCCAATGGGAGTTGCTTGGCTCCTTAAGCAACTCTAACATGAGTTTCTTACCATTGGAGAAGGCTGAGGTGGCAGCAAGAGTTTCTTGCAGAGGAGAGAGGGTTGCTTCACTAAGCAACGGTTGTTTATTTTTGTAAACTGAAGGAGGCGCGGCGGAGGGCGGCGGAGGCGCGCGGTTGGACGGCGGCGGCGTGCGGGTGGACAGCGGAGGTGGACAGCGGAGGTGGACGTTCTACCGCGGGTGGACAAGGGAGGCGCTCTGGTGAACGTTCTGGGTGGACCTGCGCGGCAGCGACGACGGTAGGGGCAACGGCGGTGGTAGACGGTGTTTGAAACTCCACAGGAAGAAAAGGAAAGGGGGAGAAAAAATGAAAAATTCCTTTACGGAAGAGAAGAAGATGCATGAAGAAGATGAAAAAGAGGGTTTAAAGAAATAACAAATAAAAAATAAAAAATTTGGAGACTTGTAGCCTTTGAAGACTTGTAGCCGTTGAAGCCTTTTTAATTAGCCGTTGGCATTTGTTTTTTTTTTTTTTAAAGGAAAAAATCATTATAAATAGGCATCAATTCAATTCAAAAATTTGGACCTCTTTAACTCTCTTCTACTTCTTTTATCTTGCTTGTTTTGCTCTCAAAAATGGATCCTAACCATTTAACATAAAACTAGCCGTTGTAAAACTAGTCGTTGTAAAACTATTTATATGTAGACTTTGTCATCTAATCCTACTCATTCTCACATCTTGTCTCACACAAAATCCCCATCTATTCTTCTTCGATTTTTAGATTGATACGTGATGGATCGAAACAACAATTTAGATGATCCAAACATCAATTTAGATGATCTTTTGGATCAATTCATAGATGAGGAACTACACGACAACACCGACGAAGAATTGATCCAGTTGATGATACAAACCTATCAACAACAACTTCCCAACACCACAAGGTCAAACCAAACAAGGAGGGTAGTTCATCGAAATCGTGAGGAAGGTCATGAACGATTGTTCAATGACTATTTCTCTGAAAATCCAGTATACACAGAAACTCAGTTTCGAAGGCGGTTTCGCATGCGACGACATGTGTTTCTCCGAGTTGTAGATGCCATAAGCAATCATGATGAGTACTTTCGAATGAGGCTCGATGCAACACGTAGAAGGGGCCTATCACCGTTGCAAAAGTGCACAGCTGCTCTTCGTATGTTGGCTTATGGGACACCTGCTGACTTTGTGGACGAGTATATTAGAATTGGTGAAACCACTGCAGTGGAATGCTTACAAAGATTCGTGAAAGGAATTTGTGAAATATTTAGGGGTGAGTATCTGAGACGCCCTAATAACGAAGACATTCAACGACTACTACGGATGGGAGAGGCACGTGGGTTTCCTGGAATGCTCGGTTCAATTGACTGTATGCATTGGGAATGGAAAAATTGTCCAGTTGCGTGGAAAGGTCAATTTTGTCGAGATGATCATGCCAACCCAACAATCATTCTTGAAGTTGTTGCATCACAAGACTTGTGGATTTGGCATGCATTTTTTGGAACTGCAAGTTCGAATAATGATATTACTGTGTTAAATGCATCTAATGTTTTTAACGAAGTTCTTTTAGGAACTGCTCCGACAGTGCAATACACCGTGAATAGAATCCAATATAATATGGGTTACTATCTAGCAGATGACATATATCCAGACTTTACTACATTTGTCAAGACCATCTCCATGCCACAGGGGGAAAAAAGGAAATTATTTGCCCAACGACAAGAATCAACGAGAAAGGATGTAAAACGTGCATTTGGAAGCTTCAATCTCGATTTGCAATCATACGAGGTCCGACACGTTTTTGGGATGCCGAAATAATGAAAAATATAATTTATGCATGTATCATATTGCATAACATGATTGTCGAGGACGACCGAGACACCTATCAAAATTATATTGATTACGATGGTGTAGATGATGACATGTCAAGATCTGAAATATCTATAGGTGCTCATCCCAATTTTAGAACAACATACCTTCAAAGGAGAGCAGACGTTCATGACAAACGAATACACCACCAACTTCAAGCAGATCTTATTGAACATATTTGGGAACGTTTCGGAAATAATAATGATGAAAATTAATTTTGTATAATGTTTATGTATTTATTATTGCTTTATTTTATTTTTAATATCTACTTATTGTGTATTTTTTCTCATAATTTTTTTTTATTGTAGTGCAATTGTCCTTTTTAATAAAATTTTTAATTTGGTTCATAAATGATTTGAAAAAAAATTCTAAAAGCTGAATTTCTTAAAGTTTCTTACCATTGAAGTAAATTTCTGTTTGAGTTGCTTAATGCTGACATGACACACTGGGGACCATTTTTTTCAGTTTCCAATGCATGAAGCAACTTAAATGAGTTGCTTCCATTGGAGATGTCCTAAGAATGACGTCCAAAAATGAGCTCAGGAAAAGGTAAAAAGCACCCCATCCAAGTAGTGGAAGGAGACCAACCCAGGACTATAATATATATATATATATATAATTATGATTTTAAATTATTAGCTACATAATCCCAATTGTGATGACTTTATATATTTTTCATGATTATTAATACTAAAAGTTAATTGATTGCAAATAAACTTTTATTAAAAAAAATTGATTGAGTTTTAGTTACTAAAAAATTCGATCTTTATATGGTTCTATCAAAAAGTAATTAATTGAAAAAATATAAATTAAAAAAATATAATTTATGTGAGAAGAAAAAGAGAAAATAGAAGAAAAAAAAAGAAAAAAAATAAGAATTAAGGCAATTGAAAATATCTCAAGACTTTTAGTCATCTACAAATGAATCATTTTAGTATCAATGATACTTATATTATGTGATACAAAAAATTAAATTTTATTAATAAAATATATATAAACACATCAAACTCAGCATTCACAAATTCTCTTCCTTTCATTTATCTTGAAAAATTAACTATTTTTCATTGACAAATAATTATAATTCATGTTTTCCATATTGAAACACAAATGATAAAAAAAAAGTTATTTTTAGGCTAAAAACCTATTTTGGTCCCTTATAATAATTGTTTGTTTCAATTTAGTCTCCCTTTTGGTTTTTGTCTCAATTTGGTCCCTCATTAGTTAATTAGTTTCAATTTGGGACTTCCGTCCAAATTATTGAAACGGAGTTAACTGTGTGACCACGTGGACGCCACGTAGATGCATAGGTGGATGCCAATTCTTTTGAAAACACTTGGAACCAGAATGACCCGTTCTGAAACCAGAACGACCCGTTCCAGATGCAAAATTTACACACTAAAAGTGCAACTAGAACGGGTCGTTCTGGTTTCAGAACGGGCCGTTCTGGTTCCAGACTACTAAGCATAAACGATCAATGATTATAGTTCACGGTTGTGAATCATGGAAGGAAAAAGACCCAAGGGACAAAGCATTTCAAATACTGAATTTGGTAATATTGTCAATGGAAATTGATAACTTCAATTGTTAAACAGTTAGGCTATATAGTGTATTATTAAGGACAATGCAATGTATCACTAAAGACAATGGTAGCAGATTTTATTTCATTTGAAACTGGAGTGAACCACTTACTACCAAATTGACACTATACAGTAAAGGATGAAATGACATATTATTTTTTTTTGAAGTCATTAACGATGTACCCTAACAACAGCAACATGTTCTTGAAGAGGTAGAACCTGAAGTAAAGGAAGAGGATACACAGGACTAACATATAAAATATTTTTGTTTTAATTGAATGTAAAAATTAACATATAAAATATTTTTGTTTTAAATGAATGTAAAAATTTAGAGGACACTAAAAGAAAATAAATTAATAATTTTATTATATTTATCCTATTAATTTTTATCATTTTATTCCTCTAATTTTAAATAAGTTGCAAAAAATTATAAAGTGACACTTAAATATTTCTTCAGACAGAAAGAGAAAAAGAAAAAGTTATTACTCTATTTATAAGACAATTGTATTTTATAAAAATAAATAATTTTAAAATTTTTACCATAAAAAATATTTTTCAAAATTATTATATTTTTAATAAAATTAATAAAGAATATTCTATTCTCAGTCTTGGAACGGGCCGTTCTGAATCCAGAATGGCCCATTCTGAAACCAGAACTGCCCGTTCTGGTTTCAGAACAGACCGTTCTAGTGTACTGGTGGTGTGTTCATTTTGCATCTTGTATTGATGGATATCTATGTTAGTGAATATTATGTGGTAGTAAGACATCAAAATTCTCCATTGGGCTGTCTTGATCTCATCCTGATCAGTGATGAAGTGGTTTACATGCCTGTCATGTCCTGTCATGTTGTGATATATACTTAGTCATTACACTAAATACTTTACAATGCTCGAGTCTCTATTATAATGGAATATCAATTATAATGTTAGATAAGCTCCATACATCTTCCCTTATACGTCTTACTGTGGGAGCACTATGTTTTGGTTTCTGTTCATGGCAGTAGAATATCCAACATAATTGTTTTTAAATTAAAAATTTTATATTATGCAGAAGACCAGCTACTGTATCTTTACAATTGATCACCTTTTATTCTTTTTTTACAATTATGGGAAGAAATCAAATCTGTGTTTAATTGTTATACAACATTCACAGGTTTCTGGGGTTCGAAGTACTATCACTAATTTTCATGATGACTTGGGTCTCTTGCAACAAACGGTGGAAACATTGGTATGTAATATGATTGTTTTCATGCAGTGGCTAGTTAATTGTTATCAAAGTTTGGCTTGATTACTTAATTTTCATTGGAATGAAAATATCTATCAATTTGTAACAATGTAAATATGATGTTTATGTTTCCTCAACATTGGTTAGTTTTATTTGTTCCTATATGTGAGTGCTCATGCACACACATATGCTTGTGTTTACCATCTCATTTATTTGATTCATTCTTAATTTCTTATGTTGTATAATTATGCCTTTGCAGGATGAAAGGCTGGCTACCTTGAGTTATAAACAGGTAATGCTTTTTCCTGTTCTTGTCAAATTTGAAATAGGAATATGTCATTGTCATAGACCATTTTGTTTCTTTTATATGGAACATCTCTTGATGAGAGTAAAAAACGAATTGCTAGAATGATTTGGTATGCATGTAAGATCTTGGAATGAAAATGGTTACTCCTGTTGATGTGCCAAAAGAAAATATTGATTTAGTAGTGTGGCTGCAGGATTATGCAAATCATGGATTGGCATATCTCATCGACTTTGTACATGGAAAAGCACGGAAAATGCCTGAAAGTTTGCAGGTTGGAGTTTTTTCTTCAACGTCAGTTATAATTATATTCTCTTTTGCTGTTAGTCACTCTCAAATTACCTGTTACTGCTAAATATACAAAATTATATATGTTCTAGAGGCTGGATTATCACCCTCTTATCTGTAGAGTGTTAAAGTGACAATCAGAGACCTAGATTAGCTTGAACAGGTTATATTTAGAGCCGACTATAAAATTACAGTACTGGCACTTTATTCAGCTCTTCTAATTCTTTGGCTGGCTTTGGTTATTATATCTTCTTGTACTTTCCTGTTGAGATAATGATATGATGTTAATTAGTAAATATTCAGCTGGAGCAACAGAAACTTCCAGGGAAGTCCCCTCATTTGCTCACATATAAAGGAACTCCAAATCTGAAGGTGTTCTTCTACCTTGTGCTTTGTTTTCTACTGTTGTTTTCCTACTGAAAAACGAGTTTGTCTCTAGGTTATATCAGTTAAATGGCTATTAATACTTTTTTGGTGATGTAATTTGTCTCTAGGTTTTGTTACTCATTTAACTATTATAAGATTCATATTAAATTTTTTTTTATTTCAATAGACTTTTAAAATCGGTTGTTACATAACCGATTTTAAAAGTCTTGACTTTTAAGATCGGTTATAAATCAACCGATCTTAAAAGTCTACTTTTAAAATCGGTTGATAACCGATCTTAAAAGTCTACCTTTTCAAAATCGGCTCTTTTAAGATCGGTTCCATAACCGATTTTAAAAGTCCAAAATAATCGATTTTAAAAGTCTTTTTTCCACTAGTGAAAGAAATTGGAATATGAAGGCTATTTGATAGATTTGTTATAATTTTATTTGCCAACCATATTATTTCAATTGTAATTTACTTTTCACTATCAATGTAAATATTGTAATAGAAGTGAAAGAAATAAATAATGTATAAAATAGCACGTTATTCTAAATATTTTAGAACGATATGTCATGTATTAAATTTACAAAATATTTTTTTTTCTTTATCTTTATTTTCATTAAAATAAATATATATTGTTAATGATATAATTGCGAGAATATGTTATAAGGAAATATATAATTATTATTATATAAATCGGGCGTTACACTAGGCATTTGCCTTAATTGCCTTATTGAATGTCCGGCCATGATTATCTGTAACTGTTGCGATTGTTGAAAGAAGTTTTTCAAAATTAAAATTGATTAAATCATATTTAAGATCAATTATGCTACAAGATAGATTGAATGTGTTAATTATATTATCTATTGAGAGTGAAATGTTAGAATTACTTGATTATAAAACTTTAATAAATAATTTTACAGTTCAAAAAGTCAGAAAAATAACATAAAAATTATTAGGCTATATTAACATAGGCCCATATCTTAAAAATTATTAGGCTATATTAACATAGGCCCATATCTTAAATTTTGCCTAAGGCCCTAAAATTCGTAGATACGACCCTAAATGCAAGAATCTCTCCTAAAGAAGATAGAAATTTGGCTTGTATTACCATAAAAACCCATAAGAAAATAATCATAGTAATCTCTACAAATACCACTAACTCCAAAATAAATAAAAATTGTCAAAACATTAAACAAAATCGAACAGAAAGAGTATAAAATTGCTTAAAAAAGGAAGGTAACTCAGTAATTACTTTTTCTAATAATACAATTCATATATGTCTAATTTCATATACCTATAAATCTTTTGATATAATGAAAAAAAACGTATTTAGTGTTAATTTAATATCGTTAAGTGGTAATTAAATTGAAATAAAGGTAACAAATTAATAGAATTTTAAAAAAATGAACTAAAATAAAGGAACAGACATTAATTTGTACTTGAATGATCTTTTAGCTTTTTAATTACGTATTAACTACTATTAATACGTAATTAATGGAATCATTCAAAAATAATTGGCAGCCTAAAATAATAGATAGCCTAAGAGTTTATGGGAATTAGTATTCACAAATAATAGCTTCTCAATTACGTATTAATAGCTACATAAGTCTTTAATGGACAAAAAAAAAATCTTTAATTAAAAGTAGTATATTATATTAATTTGAATTCGTCTTTTAAACTCACATATTTATGTTTATAGTTATTTAAAAATAGGGTTGTTGGGGGTGTAACATCTGAATTATTCTAATTTAATTATTTATTTAATTTATCTTATTAATTAAAATTAATATTTATTATTTTTTAAATGAAAGAAAATAAGATTTAAAATAAATAATCTAAAGTTACACTCAATTATATTATGCATTATTTTTTTACAACCTACTTGCGTTACAACCATTCTATTATCTAAATATATAGTAGGAAAAAAAAGATTTTTATTTGTAACATCCTATTTTTATAAAATATAAGTATTTATTAATAATTTTGATATTTTATTTTATTAATAAGAGTTGATTGATATTTATTTAATTATTTAATATATTTTTAAATATAATATAAGGTGTTTTATTAAAGGTTTTATTTTATTAAGAGGTAAGGGAATTAGTAAGTAAGGTTAAGCAATTTTAACTGGAAGGTTAAAGAGAGGTCAGGGTCTTTAAAAACACAACTTTCTAATTAAAACCCTTTTATGCTTTTATTTTCTGAACATGCTTTAGATCTTGGAGAACAAGAGTAAGGAGGAAATCATCTCAAAGTTGTACATTTGTCTTTTTCTGCTTACCAAGGTAAGGGAGAGTGAAAAATCTCTCTCTAGGTATGAGTTTGTATGTTGGATAATAGGATTGACTTCTAATCTCGTCTTTGTTATATGTCACTGCACTCAAACCGTCACCTTTATCCTCAAGATCACACTTCCTATTTTTTATCCAAATCTGACAATCCAAATTCTAAACCGTCCAATATAAACCCCAATCCCCCTCCGTGATCTTGACAACGACATCAAGTTCATCCTTAATGATCATTACCTTTATGAGGTTGTTATCGACTACCATTGCCACCTATGACACCCTTTATCCTGCATGTCATAATACATAAACGATAAATTAAACTAAATAATATGATCTTCATAGACAAGTCAAATTTGTTCAAGTATAAAGTATCATATTTTTAACTTAAAAAAATAACATAATTAATGAAGTCGTAAGGAAATAAAACTAATGTTTTCCAAATTAATTTAAAAGAAAAATATCTTAATCTAGTCCTAGCTATGCCCCAATGTCACATGTTTTATCAAAGCAAAACCAAACACTGAAGCCTAAGTCTCATCACCAACATTTTCAACCTCATGTTGATAATTACTTGCATAAAAACCAAGGAAAACAACACAATGCAAAGGAGTGAGAAACATTTTATTTTGGCTCACGATGCAGGAATGCA